AAGGAAGGCAGGAAGGAAACATTCTGGTGTTTCTAGCCTCATCTTTGTTGACCTGCTTACAGAAACTGTCTCTCCGGTTAACCCTGATTACATTGTAAGAGCTAAGGCGAAGCACCCATCGACGGGAGTGACGTTGAGTTGGCCACACCCACCCAGTCACGTGACCACTGAGCCCTGCCTACCCAGCTAGCCATTAGGGCAGAGAACCGGTTGTTAAATTATTTGAATCCCACCACTGCCATAGCTATATGCTTGGGTCATCTGTGCAAGATTTCATTAATGCATCTTAATTCTGCTTTTTCTTTTTTCTTTTTTTAAAAAAAGGACAAAATTTATCATGAAGTTTTCACCGATTCCCATTTCGGCTGTGCTACCTGTGCCATGCTTTCAATCCAAGACTATAGGGCGTGCATGGCAGGAGGAACAGTGTGTTCAAAAATATATATATTTTCCCACAGAGAGAGGAAATTCCTGTAACAGATTATTTCTTCCCCATGGCTCCTTAAATAAATTTTCTACCTTTTGACCCCGTCTATTTTTTCCCCTCCTTGAGCCAGCCAAAATACTACATTGTCTGCCACATTTTCTTCCCCCTGTAAAACAAACAGAGTGGGGTGGAAAGGAACCCCTTCCCCATTTTTGGGACCCTTGAAACATTTCCCAGGGCTTCTGTTAGTGTTCATCTCAGTAAATGCAGTTCTCAGTTTGTCAACATTTGTAAAAGGAGAGAAAAATCTGTATCCCTACCTGAAACTGAACAAGAAACATTCAGAGATTCTTTTTAAAAAAACAAGCAGAGTTTAGCAAGCAAGCAAAAAAAATCCAGAATGGGAAGTGTTCCTTGGCTTCATATTCTGCTCTTAAGGGAAACACTACGTTTAGAAAATCAGGATTCCTGTGTCACTCTGTTAGCTCATCTTCCTCCACCAATATGATATTCCTCTGCCGTTTTGAACTAGGATGCCCACCAGCCCCTGTCTAGTGGTATGGGATGATGGGAGCTATGGCCCAAAACATCAGGAAGGAAAGATATTGGTGTCAGGGTTCCAACAGATGCCCTAATTAAATCATAAGCCTTGTGCCAAGCTTCAAAAGACATCTAGTTGTTTATTAGGAGCTTCATGTCTGAACTTCCCAAGTGAAGCCAGCTCTGACCCCACCTAATTTATGGCCCCAATCATGACCCCTCCCTCCAGGGTGTGTCGAGAGCAGGCCAGGAATGCTTTGTGGGTTGACAATTAGGGGAAGAAGATATATTTC